CCACCCACCCACCCACCCACCCAAATGCACGTGCCTCTTACCTCCAGCAAACCAATCTTTCCTCGAGCAACGCAAAGCAATGGGAGAGGGAGGGGGAGGATGTGCGAGGCATGTATCTACATGATTGTATGTTGTGTGCATGGCTCCATGTATATGTAAGCTTGTATACATGCCTTCGCGATAAGAGCATCAACTGTAGTGCAATGCTCCGGGATGACTCAGCTTCGCGTGTTTCACCCGAGGGCTTGACGATCCCTTCATTGTCCTCACAACCGCCGGTACGCCAGACACCCAAGCCTATTGATTTGGATGTTTGATAATGTACCTTTCTGATTATGATGTAAGGTGTTTAGATCCTCTTGCAGTCCGCACGCATTACTTGTGGACGACACGGGGTTTGAACCGAGATGGCTACTGATGTGATGGAAGGAAGCGCGGAGTTTCAGCAATCTGCTAAGCGCTTGCCGCAAACAAGGCCAGAAGTGGCAGCGGCCTTGCACCCACACGAACTTCCTGCCGTGCTCTTACCCCGCTGTGTGTTCTTTTGCGTGGATGGCCCCGCCAGCTGTGCAATACAGTGCATGTCGCCGACGACTCCAGGAGCGGTTGTGTTCGCCAAGTGCTCAGCGGAATGTGCAGACATTCCGGATTCCCGTACCTTCAGGTTGTGGAGCACAGCACGGGCCCCGGTGCAGACCGATTAGAGTCCGCAGGCTGTCAGGCATGTGATGGTGGCGAAGTCCTACGGAGCAAAAGATGTCCCAAAGTAGGGCCTGAAACCAAAGCGGTTTGCCCAGAAAGCAATGAGGCACACAAGGTTTCGAGGTCACACCACATGCTAGGGGCATCGACAGACGGCTTCCCGCAGCAATTCAAAAAGCAGACCCTCCATGTCGACGAGATCTGAGATCTACTAGCTTCCGGACGCGGTCACTCCCGCGGTGACTGCACGCCAAGACTTTGCCATGACGTGGCTGCGGCACTTCGCTTACGCTGCGGCGCTTTGCCTGCCTGTTTCTGCAGAGACTTGGAAATTCGTGCCGGAGTGTGGCTTGGCTGTTTCAGACCTGACACAGGTCTGTCGGCGATTTCTGTAGTCAGACGGGGCTCTTGTTCAACAGGCGTTTAGCAAGCTCGAAGTTGCACTCTGTCGCTGTGCTTCTGTGCACCTAGTCGGTGGCCCGCCCTTGAAAAAGACCTTTAGCGGTCACCTTACAGTATTTCGCCGGACTTCGCTTGTTTCTCGGCGGTTGTCTCCGCCAACTCTCCACCCTTTTCCGTTGTTGCCAGAAACACGAAACACCCTGTGGTTCCTGGTTTCTTAACCGGGTTTCGCAAAGTCCCTTCCCTGGGTACGGTTGTCAAGTCGTGACGATGCCATTCGCTTCTCGCTGCAGCCTTCCAGCCGTTGGTTTGCTATAAGTAACCCGGGTCCGAGTCAGGGTGCAGTCATGAGTACTGTGTTGTGGGTCGAGCTAGGGAGTTAGGGCAGCAGGCGAGTCCCTTATGGTAAAATTCGGTTTAGGGTTTCTAGGTTTCTCGGTTCAGGGATTCCGGGTTCAGGGTTTCTGAACTTGGGGGTTTAGTGTTTCTGGGTTTAGGGTGTCGGGGTTTGGTGTTTACCGGTTTAGTTTTTCTGGCTTCAGGGTTTCTGGGTAATTGGCCTCAGTACAGGTAAAAAATGGTTTCTGGGTTTGGGGTTTCGGGATTTAGGGTTGGCGGCAAAAAGCCTTTCTTCATTGGACAACGATGTAGCAACTTCGAAATTCTACACGGAATGACACGCAGACAACAATAACACACGCCAAAGAACGGATGCAGCAAACACAAAATTCAGCAGCGACGAGCCCAACATGCAGCAAGCCACGTTCCCCCGGCCCTTGAAGGGCCAAGCTGCATCCGGACACAGGGTTGCGGTTGAACTATTCGAAACGTAGGAATGATGACGCACCCCCCTACCCCCCCCACCCCCCCACCCCACCCCCTCCGGCCCCAAGACAACCACAATTCTTGGTTCATGACCTTGATCGCATCTTCTTTGGTTCGTCTCTTCCCTCTAGGTGCCTAGGTGCTTCTCCGATCGTCCACTTTTGCTGTAGTTCGGTTCCTTGGTTTGGGTCCTTAGGTTCCCTTTTCGCCTGCCTTGCTTGCAGCATCACCTGTAGTGAACAAGCTTTTGATTCGGCTGGGAGAGGCAGATTGAGCCCATTCGCCCGCAGTCCTCCGCAAGTCTTCCAAGTGAGCACCACATGAACGGAAGTGGACGTACAGCCAATGGTTTTTGTTTACTCCCGTTCTTCGTCGCCGCAAGATCTTGTCACAAGATGATGGGGGTTGCAGTGGATGGGGTTCTTGAGCCGAGAAACCGAAGAGTATTGTGATTGACTATGTTTGCCGCTTGAACCGACTCCTTGTCAACGGTGTTTTGGTCGTCCTTCTTGTGGCACTGAAGCACAACGAATGAAGTACTTGTGCATCAGACTGTGTGACAACTACCCTCGCAAGCGCTGGCACTGCACGAAGGCACTCGTGCAGCGCACAACAGCTCCTAAAGTGCAGACACTTGTCCGATCTTCGGACACCGAGGTCAGGGCGATGAATGTGAAGCTAAGCAGCAAATTCATTTCTCAACTTTTGTGCGACTCGTAACTAGTGACTAATAATTATCACGCCTGCAGGTCTGGCTTATTGTTTTCTATTTCTGTGCCAAGTCGGACATCTAAGTCTCGCATGGGTTTATTTACAGTCAGGTCAAGGAGCCCACTCGCGCTGCAGATGCTCCCACGAAGTCTATAGCAGAAACTGGTGGCTGGGGTTTCAGTTACGGACCTCTGCCGACTCGCGAACCGGGCAGCTTCGATGCACCCGAACCCTTAGTTGAAGGGATTTCGGCCCGTGGCTGATGTCGTGATTGAATCGGAGTTCGGTCTTAAGCTAATGTAGTTTGGCAGGTTAGCTTTCGGCTGGCATGGTAAGTGTGTCCATTTGCCACGGCAAAAATACTGGTAGCTTGCCCATCGGGAACCCCCTGCAAACATTTGCGACAGACGTCCATTGGTGCTTTGGCCAGGTGCATTCCCCAATGACGACATGATGACAGAGGCTATTCAGGGCCAGTGGGGTCATGGCGGTCGAGACGACTCTTGGACTGAATTCGGACATCTGCTGGTGTCACGAGCCGCGATAGATGAATTTACGTGGATCGCCCATGCCATGGCCGCAGCCGTGCCGCGGGCCCTGTCTCGGGATCCACAAGGGGGTTGTGGTTGTTATTGTAGTGGTTGTCGAGAGCAATTGTATGGCCTCACTCAGAGCGGCAAAGTTGCAGGCACCAGCAGTGGATGAAGCAAGATGGGCAAACTGGGGCGAGTGGGGCCCAGTGGAGCTAAGGACATAGCGATAATCGCACGAATGGGAGCCAAGATGGTGCGCCTCTACGGAAATGACCCACGGTTCGACGGCAAAAAGTTTCTGGACTACGCGAACAGATGGGGCCTTAAGGTCGTGGCTGGCATATCAGACTACCCGTACGAGCACGGGCCCGGCAAGTGCTGGACTAGTGCAACTCGCCTGATGCATACTACCGGGTCTACTGGAGGTCCTTCCGTCCAAGGCATGGCTTCGGTAGCAATGCCCTTGCAGGTCCACTCATGTCTTAGCTAGGATCTACATGATCAAATGGCTTCGACAGAATCTACTGCGGCTGATTCGCAGACTGTAGCTTGGGTGGGGTTCTGTCATTCAGGACCTGAACTGCTATGAAGCCATTCTCGAGTCCTATAGCGCGACACTGGAGAACAAAAGCTTTGTGGCACATGGCAAGTATCACCCGGCCCTGGATACCCTGGCGCCAAGGCTGCAGAAACAGAGCTTAGTAGGGGCTGGGTGGAAGGATTGCAAAAGACTTCGCAGCTCGTCGGAAGAAAAAGTTTTTAACACAGAACCATGCATGAAGGTACAACGAGGTGAACACTGGCAGCACTAGCAGGAGCAAAAGCTACTATGATGCCGCTAATCTGAAACTGTCACCCTTGTACACTGCTACTTAGAGTCTTCACCCTGGCCGGGTTCAAGCATGTCAAGTCTGGAAAAACCACAGAGGGCCCCCGAGCTCGCATGCCGCGTCGCAAACGACATGGTTAGGGCTCGGACACTTTATGCCATGCCAGCCTTGTGCGAGTGTGTGAGTCGAAATGATTAGGGCTGGGGTTTGTGTAGGGTTTCGGGTTCCGTTAATGTTCAAATGTTCAGGGGCATGCCAGGAACTAGGGCTTGTAAATTATGGATGAAGCATGTCATGAAACGAGCCATCTAGATTAATTTACACATCATGTGTAAAAACCTATCTGACTGCCTACAGACCGACCTATCTACCGACCTGCCGACTCACATACATATATATATATATATATAAATCTAACACACTGCGTAGTTACCTTGGAGGGGCAAAGGGCCTTTCAGAAGTTGTTGTCTCCGGCTTGTGGTTTGAGACGTCTTGACAAGGAACCGAGTCTAAGCCGTCTCACTCGTAGTTTCTTCCCACGGCTGCAGCTTCGGAGGGTCTGCACCCCAAACTTCAGATCTTGTGTGGAGCCCTGCCTGCCTTGTGCGAGAGTGAGAGTCGAAGCTTCAGATCTTTGTCAGCCGAGGTTCTGACAAACGAGCCTGACCTCAAGTTCACCGGAGATGGAACATGGATTGCGTATGATTAGTGCTGGGATTCCCTAAACTTTATGGGTAATTGTGAGAAGAATAATGTTCCAACTTTCTGACACTTGCTGTAAGTGCTTTCACTGAGATGTCTTGCCGGATGTCGCGGTTGCCGTTTAACGAAAGGAATGCCATAGTTACCTAAGAAATTAATTGCGCGACTTTCAACTGAGTGCATGCAGACCTTCCTGTTTCCAGGCCGAAACTACATGAAGGCAGTGCTCAGCGCCTTTGATGGTGTACTTGCTGCCGAAAAGGCGAAAGGATTGGATGTCACCTCCCCTGAGTCTCGGCTGGAGGAGCTGGCAGATCTACGCATACCATATCACATCATATCATATCATGTCGTATAATATAATGTCGTACTGTATCGATTGACGGTATATATATATATTTATTTATTTATATTTATATTTATATGTATGTATGTATATATATACACATACATACATACATACATACATACGTACATACATACATACATACATGCATACATACATACATACATATATACATACATACACATTAATGATATATGTGTTATGTACAAATAGGAATATGCTGCTGTCGCTGTATGTACACCTGCTTCTAGTTACTAGTGATCATGCGCATGTGTGCGTGCATGCCTGTGAGGGCACATGCTGTAGCAACGGTAGTAACAGCAGACTGAAACATATGAATACAGAATGTACATGTTTACATACACAGACCTACATATTTTGTAGTTATATATATATATATACACTAGATATGTGTGTGTGCGGCATTAACAGGAAGGCACGATGTGCAAGACCAGTGTGCATACATGAACCATGTAGAACATGTACCTATATATATATATATGCATCATTCCATTATAGTACGAACAGACACGTATATGTATCTGTGCCAAATTGTCTACAACATACGCAGACAACCCGCAAGGTATGTGGGACATTTAGCCTATATCATGTATATAGTCTCTTTCTCCATACATATATATATATATATGTATATATGTACCGGCAGTATATTCACAGACTATGTGTATATATATATATATGTATATGTATACACACCGTACATATATGAATAGTTATGTAAATGGAATCTCAAACAGGTGTCTTCTGACCCCAGGCAGGCAGGCTTCAGTGGTTTGGGCCAGTCGTTGTGAAGCCTCGCCTGCTTTGTGCGAGCGAGAGAACCGAAATTAACAGCAGGATATGTATGTAGATCACTGCATGTGAAAAATCTCAACTATTTCGTCGATGACTAGCAAAAATTCATAAAACTTGACGTATCGTATGAAAAATGTGAAGATGTGTATATATGTATGTACATACCTGTACATGGCATTCTTTGGATGCCCTGTATGTAAGATTGTCTTTATTAATGAGTGTGTATGTATGCATAAAAGTAAGCATATATATATATATATATGGTACCCCCCCCTCATGTATCTACCGTTCGTCTCTTCCTCTGCTTCAAATCGCTTTGCTGCACTATGACTACAAGCAG